AAAAAAGATTTCTGAAGTCAGCACTTTACAAAGTTTTGCAGCTTGTGAGAAAAATATGGACAGAAATCCCAAAACTAATTGTTGGTTTCGAATGTACTGCGCCCAGGATAATGTGCTAAATCTACCAACTCCCAACCTTCCTTCCAGGCTCTCCGTCCTCTTTAAATAAAGTCAAAGAAACACTGATGCATTCGTCTTTATTTTGAACGATAGCGCATTTACCGATGCTACGCAACCTGGTGACGAGCTAATCAGTAACTAACCCTTTCAAAGATGGCTTACAAAAGGTGCTGACGACAGCACGTGTTATTCAGCGCCCAGCATGTTATCAAAAATTATGCTAATGATGCGGAAGTGAGAGAGAGTAGTTCAAAAAGAGGGAAAGCAAATGCCAATCACCCATGGGTATTCATGTAAGCAGTAAACAAGTAGCTATTTCTAGGTGCTTGTTTACATCAGATATCGATTTCCATCCATGTCTGCGTACGAGTTTTTAGCTATTATAACAATACATAAAATCATTGCCTTGACACTATCCAGGATATTCTCCACCAAAAATAACCGCCTAAGTTCGTTGCCGACCAGCTGCGCATGTTCAATGAACACATCCACTTGCTGATGTACCTTGTCTTGCGGCACATGGAATTCCCGATTAAGGTACGGCCTGAATACTGTCTTATAAAAGTGAGCTAAACAAGACCAGATTAAGTTAAATGGAATCATGATGCAGACCACATTATTTTATTGCATGTAATACGGATCTGGCTGCGTACAATTTGGTATAGTTGGAAACTCCTTTACAGTGGGCCTCCTACGACTGTGGCCGCTGGTAGATGAGCTAAAGGATCCAGCAAAGGATTAGCAGGACACGACATATCAAGCTTTCCTCTGGAATGACAAAAAAAGTAGGGAGAGGGATACTGGAGCTACAAGGAGCATGACAAACATCTGGTTGTGCAACTTCGACAACGACGATTACGGCACAACTATTCGATCCACTGATGACTCAACGGCGCACTATAATTGCGTGACAGTCGCTCAAGGCTTCAAAAATGAGAAATCAACACTGTCATTCTCAGATTTTGATAAAAGGATATCTCAGGATCCCGAACACTGGCCCCATGAACTTAATTCCGGTGACGAGGGCAGTGGTTATTTTTCCCGAAAACTGCTCCGAAGCATAATGACAACAGCTGCAATCTCCGATTTGTTAAACATGCTTTAACCAAATCGGTAACAAATTAACCTCTCAGTGTTTCGTTTAAAATAAAGCAGTGAATACGTGAAGACAGAGCACTCTCATTACTACTTCCAGTCGAAAGGTATGGCACGAAAGTGATGCCAAAATCACCGGTGAAATTTTCGCTTACGCATATGGAAAGGCAAAACTTACTGGAACGGATTTGTACCATCAGTTTTCTTGATCTGTGATTCCAAGAGTTTGTAAAGCCGAAAACCGAGTGTACCGCCGAGAACGGCCAGTCCGAGATAGCTCAGTACAGCAACCAATGGAAATTTGGCAAAAACCAGCAGCCCAAGCACCGTAACACCAAGTACGACCCCGGATTTTTTCGGATCACGCCAGTATACCAAATCCAGAACTGCAATTGAAATTGTAAGGGACGCTAAAATAGTACCACTCTCAATCTGCACCTACTTCTTTTATGTCTGAGAGAGAACACGTGGTGGCGCTATATTTCTAGATAGCATTTATCCAGTGATGGTGCCAACAGCGGGCTGCTTTCTGATGAATTTCATTCTTACCGACTGAACAGTTCAAAAAAGCATAGCTTTAGCAATTCTTTCTGCAATGCGAAATAATGCCTCTCACCTTCTCACTTTCGAATCCCAGCCCTCACAAAAAAAAATGTTTAACCTTTCACTTTCTTTTTGAAAAAAATGTTCGGTCAAATGCTCATGTTATGATCAATCACTGAGCTCTGATTAGCTCCAGACACAACATGCGGCATTTCATTTTTTTCAAAAAACTGGGCATTCTCAGGTACTCCCTATTAGGCTATGAGGAGGTTAATTTCACAGGAAAGTTCCAAGCCGGCTTGATGGCTAAAAACATCGCAGCGTACTGAGACCAGTACACATATGAGAGCACTGTCTTTTGTGGTAACTATCTCTGAAACTTCCAACAATAACTCAGCCCCGTTGTTCGCGAAACTCCCTTCTACGACAAATTACACAGCCAGTTAATGTTACTTTACAGCAGGAAGCTACGAAAAAAAAACAGCTGGCAAAGATGTCCAGCAATCCGGGACCGAAAGACGCCCCTAATTTACATCATGCATGTGCATGTCTGCTGTCCATTGGTGCGCATGACGCGTCAAGAGGCAGATAAGTACATCCATGACGTACGTAAGGGCGTCTTTCGGACAGTCAGGCAAGCATTTTCTTTTAACTGAAAGCTGCGTTCATGTGTCCCTGCCACAACGGGTGAATACAGGCATCGAAGCCCTCCTAGGCCCTGGCATTCTCGCAACGGCTCATTTTAAACGCTCAACAAAAAACTCGAAAGAAAAAACTGAAATGAACTGGGCGTATGCCAGTTTCCCATGTTCATTGTCACATAGAAGAACCGCTCAGTCTTGCTGGACGGCGCGGAGAGGGAGAAGTACACTAACGCAGCGAAGCTGAGAGACGAATTATTATTTGGATGAGGATAGCGAACGATGATAGAGTGGGAAGTTCTGAACTACTCGATTCACCCCTACTTTAAAAAGGCCAATTTTCTGCAAGAGCGATTCCGCAGACCTAATAGTTCCTCCGGAATCGCTAAACGTCCTTCAACCGTCGGGTCCTCAAGCTGTAGGAGAACAAATACTCCAATTGCCAGAATTGACTTCCCTACGCATTGGGGAAAAAGAAGGGATAGCCATATTCGCAACATTTCATTAACAACGATAGGGCACAGAGATTTATAACTTTTCCGAAAAAAAAAAGTGAAACTTGATATCTGCAGGTAGGGTGAGGAAGCAATAAAAGTGTCCGCGTCTGGATGCAGCAAACGGACAACTGTCTTCGCGGTACAAGCAAGCTCAGGAAGTCATTCGGATGGCGCAGTAAGGCTCATATGGGAAAATTACAAGTTGCATACAAAAGCACTCCGCTACATCTCAGTAAGTAAAAGAGATTCAATAAAAACAGTTGTGAATGTGAACGACTGCAACTTTACCATCCTGTCTGTGCTGCACAGCCTGCTTGCTGAACTGACCGGCAGCATGCAGCGTGATCACAACTGACGCGATCAGTGCGGTGGTGAGGCCGAATCGAAGGATAGTGCGAGTTGTTAATGAGATCAACGCATAAATGGCGCGTCCGAGGGTGCCAATGAGGCCTGAACCGCCTGCGCTTGACTCTTCCATCTGGTGATTATTCTTCAGCACACGGGCCTGCTGTCCCTTGCACGCACTACTAGAAGTGTCCGATTACAACGCGTCGTAAGCTCCGAACGCATACGCAACGCAAAACACCGATAAGAAACCAGAACACCGGCAAAAGGCTGAATGAACGAACGCGTGGCGATTGCTGATCACTAGATACGGCCCTGTTTGTTGCACTGCGATTGGCAAACCTCGAACATCGACGGCCGCACAACGAGTCAAAGTAGCCCTGATGCTCCTGGGTATAAGCGGCTGCGCCAATTTTGAACAGTCAATTTTTCACCATATTACACGCGGTATGTTTTGTCCTTCAGGATAAACGCATAAGGCTAGTACATTAAGCTACCATTTAAGCACTCCACATTGCACCAGAACAAACAAAACGTACTAAAAGCCTGATATTAGGCAAAATGAGGAGAGGAAAGGAACAACTAATACAAATGCGTTACTTTGCGCACAGCTAATTGCCATGCGTGCGACTCTGCGTGGCATATCAAATAATCTCATAGGACGGGACGCCTTTACGCAACGTGTCTCACAGGCTTCACTTTTGTAATACAAAATAATAGATTTCCAGTAGAAAACCAAAAAAAACCAGATCTGCCCAATACAAACCATTTTTCTCACGCACACATGCACGATACTCTCTACAAAACATCCGACCACAGCAGCTCAGAGAAAAGTCTGAATCTCGAGAAGATTGCTGGGACAGACTCCAATCACCAAAGAATCCTGAGATGTGTGAAACTTAGTTGCTAAAATCCAAATTTTCCACAAACCCATTTCCCCAGAACAGTAAGATGAAAATATGCATCGCACATCAATTTCAATTACCTTCGGAACAACCGATCCAGCCTTTTGATACAGAGGGAAGGAAGTGGCAGTGACACTACAAATCGCCTGTCACATCCGAGATATCAGCCGAAGGAAAACCCACGTATTACCACACCACACACAGACACTAGGAAACTGTGGAAAGATTCACTCCCTACAACAAAACGAAGCGCTTTCGAAAATACCCGATTCAAGCCTGAAATTGTTATTTGGGCCACCACAACAACGAATGAATCGATGCCTCCGTAAAGCTACTCCTCTCCAGCTCTCCTCTTCCTCTTCCTTGCCCCACTCTTCCTCAAAATCGACAACACTATTCCATCAGCTCCCCGCAGACAGACACAGGCATACACTCCTCACACACAAACACACTTCACACACCGACATGCACATCCAGAAACATCACGAGCCTCATCGTTCGATGCGGTGCTGACGCAGCGGTTGCGCACTGGCGCTGATGGGATGGGAGTGTGGGGAGCCAACGCCCGAACTGGAAAGAATGTGTCTGACAGAAACAGGCTAGTGTTAGGTTTTGGAGAGCTGTATGCAAAGCAAGGCAGGCCTTACTTCAGTTGTATTCTGCACAACGACGCTTATCGCCTCGATCACAATACGATGTAAAATCCGATGGTCATCCATTCCTCGCGAATGTCATGCAAGTGGAGGGCTGAAAACCTCCGAAGAAAAACGGTCTGCTCGGAACAAAAATGCTTAGACATATTTGCGATCGACTTGCGAACGTACTACAGCGTGCCGGCCGGCTGTTGTCCGAGCGATTTCGGTGATTTCTTTCTCAATCCGGCATTTAGCAACCCTGAATTACACCATCGCTTGTCGGCATGTTCTTTTCGAACACAAACCAGTGTCGTGTTTTAAAAGATAAGCCCGTGGTTGAGGGAGGGAAGAGCAAATGGTAAACAATGGTAAACTCTTTAACTGTTTTTCGCAACAAATCGATGCCTTAGTTTACCACTTCGAGACTTACAATTACCGTTCTTTCGACGTGAGGCAGCACCTGGGAACTGGAATTAGCACATTTTCGGTCGAATGAAGTCCAGATCCGGACGCACAAAACAGGCCCAGCTGCGCAGGGAAGAGATGCACAAGACTACCAAGTGTCTTGTGCAACCCAACCATGACAGATTGCACAGCCGGTAAGTGGGTAATTCTTTGTCGCTTCCATCTTGGATTTTCACTGTTGTTCTGATGGCAAATGAATAGCAGGACTAGTACGTTTTCCCACTTCCTGGCCAGGGGATAAAAAAATCTAGCGAATACCAAGATTACTTTCTGACTGTCAAAACCGACATGATGCACTCGGCACCTGCCGAACTTCAGCAAAATGCATCAAAATGACCACTGGTTCTGGAACACTGAAAAAGGATGAAGTACACTTGTCCGCCGGTTTGGCAACTGTCTACTGATGCAAAAAGAATAGTATGATGATCAAGGCGGTATTTTAGTGGATTTATTTTTCCCAACAACTCGGTCAATTCTAAACCTCGGTGCTGCGCTTCCGATGTACTAGAAAAATTAGTATGTGGTAAGCGTAACACACAGCCAAACGCTCCAAACAAGGCACTAGTCAGAAAAACACAGAATAATGTATTTGTCGGAGAGAGCCCAGATCTCTGCCCACTAAAAGAGCCTAAAACCATCTGTGAGATGCAAAAACAGAGTTCAAACCGCTGAATCTACAAAACTGCACTTCGAGAAACGCAGCGCGAGCATCATAGCTTTAGTCAGAAGCTGAGTACTCTAATGGCCTAAACCTAGTTGGAGAGATTGCAAAGCAATGCACTGGGCGCCTCTGCTGTTTTCATCACTTCGATCGCTTCTCGTCCTTTCGACCTTCGATTTTTGATTGCATGGCCTGCGGCAACTCTAACAAACGAAAAGAAAAACGGTTTTTGAATGAGTCATCAACGCAGCACACACATAAATGTAGCCAAATCATTCTTTGCAATCCCGAAAATACAACTGCATCGTGCAGCCAGAAAAGCAGCCAGTGCCCAAAGCAGCGATTCGGAAGCCTGGATAACCAAGAGAGGTCCACAAGCATGGAAGAACAACGATGAGAATAAATCTCAATAACTGCCCCATCAATAAAAGTCTGAACAAACAATCACAGTGCTGTAACTGTACTGCACACTGCAACCGGAGAGCCGAAAAAGAACCGAAAATTTGAAGGAAAACATGTACAGCGGACGAAGGCCAGGATGGCAGGCGCTGCTGCAGGGATGAAGGGGCAACAGCTGACTCCAGCGTGAACTAGCAAAACGCGCACAGGAATGAAGTATCGGCTGACACGCTAACGGACGCCTCGAACAGCGAAGAACTGGTCCTTCTTGTTAGTTGAAAAAAACAAAACAGCCTCTTAGTCTTTAGTCGCTTCAACAACACGGCCCGATGAAAAGACCAGGGTCGTCTATCCACCTCGAAAAAGCCCAAAAAACCGCTATGAAACCAAAACAGCCAAATTTTAACACGAATAAAAAACCAGACCCGTCTTCTCCTCCTCCCCCTCCTGCCCTCCCC